CATGAATGGCGGGAGTGTGGGAGCTAATATAGAGACGGTTAGTGGGGTAGGACGGGCTTGACTCATTGCGGGGAACACTGTGCCCATGGAAAGAGCGTCAGTCCTACCTTGAGGGAAACAGGAAGCCACTGGTGGGTTCTGATACACATGGAACAGGATTTACTTACAGGACTATTCAGAACAGTTGTCTAACTCATAGCAAACTGGCATAAATAAAAGTAAAATTTGCTCTTTATAAAGCATTCACAGATCACAGTAAGGATTCTCAAAACTTAACACCTTTAGGAATGTTGTAATGAGTAGTACATAATTGGGAAAGAGACTTGGGAACTGTGTTCTCAAAACTTGTCTTGTTTTATCTCCTTGAGCCAAAAGTAAAGTGCACCAAAAGACTAGTAATATATACCTTATAGTTAATGAGAAAAATTAAATTACAGTTACCTCTGGATGGTTCCTAACCAGCATCATCTAAGCATAACAATGTAAGGAATCTCTTGAAAAACCAGCACACTATATTAAAGAAAAGTCTTGTCAAATAATATTGGGAACAAAATAAACACAGATTTGAATGAAAGACTTAAATCATTGATCTTTTGAAGAAATAACTATCATTAAATTATTAATATTTATTATAAGTAGCCATATAATAACAGCTCAAAATTTTTATAACCTAAAACTTTTAATCAATTGAAAATTCTAAGGGAATCTTTCACAAAGAGATCTGTTTGCTTTTGATCAAGCCACAAAAGAAACTAAACTCAACGTAAAAGGATTATCCCCACCTCTCTTTCAACGTGTAAGCAATTACACTGCAGATAGGAAAGCAGAGAAAACGTACATTTATTAAGTATCTACTCTGTGCAAGTTCCTACTGAGTATTTCTTCATCACAATAAGCTGCTGACTCAGCATTATAAAGCATCGGTTTCAAAGCAAGTAAGAAGTAGACAGGATTGAATCCCAAATGATTCAGGCTCCAAAGTGATACTCTTGCTAATACACTGCCCCACCAACCTAAATATCCTTTCTTGGTCTTAACAGACCAAAAGGAAAACTTTGAGAATACCATCTGGTTGCCTCAGTAACACTCTACTTCTGATCATTTCACAAAATCGACTATTCAATATGCCTAAGAGCAAAAACGACTTCTGATCTTCAAACTATGCAGGCACTAATTTGAGCATCTACTCTAATAAATTATGAAAATTATACACAAGACTCAAACACAGATGAAAAGCCATCTTTATTTACTGCACATTAAAGCTGTAGAATCAGAAAGTACAATAAGAACAGAAATTTACTCAAAATCAAATCTTCAAAAGAAAACAACACACCTATGTTTATTGGCAACCCACTCCAGTATTCTTGCCTGGAGAATCCTGTGGACGGAGGAGCCTGGTGGGCTGCTGTCCATAGGGTCGCACAGAGTCAGATATGACTGAAGCGACTTAGCATGCAAGCATGCATGTTTACTACAAGTGCAAAGAAAGCTGATAACATTCATGCTATGGTCATCTGAGTTCATATTTGCACAGCAAGGGTTATGCTGGCTTAATTAAATACTGGTGCACGTACTGAAACAATAAAGTAAGTATACTGTTTAATTATTTGCCTTGTTCTCTAGATTATCAATATATTTTATCTCAGCTGTTTTTGCCTTGCCACTAAAATCTCTTGTCATTATGACTTTTGGGTAGTCTGGATGTTAAAACAAATGTTAATGTTTTTTAAATGTGTCATAAATGGAAAACTTTTTAATACATTATAACTCACACAGTTTTGTATATTTTATATATTTGGGATTTAATAAACATGCTAATTATCATTTGTATTTCTGTGATATCAGTTGTGACATGATCTCTTTCATTTTTTATTTGAGTCCTCTCTTTTTCCTTTGTAAATTTAGCTAACTATAGGCATGTCAACTTTTTTTTTATCTCTTCAGAAAATCAGCTCTTGGCTTCATTGATTTTCTTGATTGTATTTTTATTCTGTATTCCATTTATTTCTGTTCTAATTTTTATTTGCTTCCTTCTACTAACTTCAACTTCACTCATTTTTCTTTTTCTAGTTTGTTAGAGGCAGAAAGTCAGGTTATTTATTTAAGCCTCTTCTTGTTTCTTAAGGCAAGCGCCTATCACTATGAACTCCCTTCCTGGAACTGCTTTTGTTGCATCCCACAAGGTTTGGTATGTTATATTTCCAGTTTCATTTGTCTCAAGGTACTTTTTAATTTCTTTCTTTATTTTTTCTTTCATTCACTGATATTACTCAGTAGCATGCTGTTTAATCTCAACATCTATGGATTTTCCAGTTTCCTTTGTGTAATTACTTTCAAGTTTCATACCACTGTGGTCAGAAAAATATGCTTGATACAATTTCAATCCTCTTAATTCATTAAGACTTGTTTCACGGCCTAAAATACAATCTAGTCTAGAAAATGTTCCATTTACACTTGAGAAGAATATATTCTATTGCTTTAAGAGGAAATATTCTATATATATCTCTTAAATTCATCTGGCTCATCCGTCATTTAAGGCTAATGTTTCCTTATTGACTTTCTGTCTGGACGAGCTATCCATTGATGTACTGGGGCATTAAAATTCCCTACTATTATTGTATTACTGATTACTTCTCCCTTTAGGTATGTTAATGTTTTCTTAATGTATTTACCTTTATATATATTAGGTGCATAAATATTTACAAATGTTAAATCCTCTTGTTGGACTGACCACTTTATTATATAAAAGTTATCTTTGTCTCTTTTGACATTGTTTAAGGAGTATTTTGTCTGATTAGCATAGCTACCTCAGCTTTCAATTTCCATTTGCATGGAGTATCTTTTTCCATCCCTTCACTTTCAGTTTGTGTGTGTATTTATATCTAAAGTGAGTGAACTCTAGGTAGTATTTAGATGGATCCTGTTTTCAAACTATATTATAAAGCTATAGTAATTAAAACAGTATGGTATTCACATAAAATAGACATATAGATCAATGGGACAGAATGTTGTTATTGTTTAGTTGCTAAGTCATGTCTACCTCTTTTGTTACCACATGGACTACAGCCTGCCAGATTCCTCTGTCCGTGGGATTTCCCAAGCAAGAATACTGGAGTGGTTGCCATTGCCTTCTCCAAGGGATCTTTCAAACCCCGGGATCACACCTGCATCTCCTGCATTAGCAGGCAGATTCTCCACCACCGAGCCACCAGGGAAGCTCATGGAACAGAATAGCGAACCCCAAAATAAACCCACACATGTATGGTTAATCAATTTATGACAAAGGTGTCAAGAATATACACTGAGGAATGGATAGTCTCTTCAATATATAGTGTTGGCTACTTACAACAGCTAAGACATGGAAGCAACTTAATTGTCCATTGACAGAAGAATGGATAAAGAAGAAGGTCTTACTGTATAGCACAGGGAAATCTGCTCAATGTTATGTAGTAGCCTGGGTGGATGGAAAGTTTCGAGGAGAATGGATAAATGTATATGCATGGCTGCATCCCTTTGCTGTCCACTTGAAACTACAACAACATTGTTAATCAGTTATACTCCAATATAAAATAAGCTAAGTGAGACAAGTGCTTGGGCCTGATGCACTGGGAAGACCCAGAGGGATCGGGTAGAGAGGGAGGTGGGAGGGGGGATTGGGATGGGGAATACATGTAAATCCATGGCTGATTCATGTCAATGTATGACAAAAATCACTACAGTATTGTAAAGTAATTAGCCTCCAACTAATAAAAATAAATGGAAAAAAATAAATAAATAAGTTAAAAAAAAGAAGATGTGCTATGTATATACAATGGACTATTACTCAGTCATAAAAAAAGAATGCAATAATGACATTTTAGAAACAGGGATGGATCAAGAGATTAGGTCCATACTAAGTGAAGTAAGCCAGACGGTGAAAGGCAAATATGATATGATACTGCTTATACATGAAATCTGAATGGAAGTACTATTTGCAAATCAGACATTTGGTAAGATATATAATTTTATATCCAAAATGCATAAAGAGGCCATACAACTCAACAGGAAAAAAAGCATACAATCCTATTCAAAGTGGGCAGAAAATCTGTATAGATATTTTTCCAAAGAAGGCATACAGAAGACCAACATCACTAATCATCAGGAAAATGCAAATCAAAACCACAATGAGGTAACATCTCACAACTGCTATAAAGGCTATTATCAAAAAGACAAAATATATCAAGTGCTGGTGAGGATGGTTTGGTTGAAGCTTCCTGTGCAACTTTGATGGATCAGTCATTTAGCAGACTTCAGTCTCTTTTAAAATAAGGAGCCCATGGAGATTATGTAAATAATTTAAAACCATGGACTTCCAAGTTAAGACATGAAAAGAACTTAAATCTGCCTTACCTTGGAAAATAGTAAGAACATAATCAATTCTTAACCTTAGCAGAAATTAATCTATCTAGTAGTTAGCTAACAAAAGACATGACTCAGAGAGTGGGGAAGAGAACAGCTGCATTCTGAGAAGGATGGGGAGAAGGGAAGGGAAGTCTCTAAGCATGAATCCTGGCTAGAATCAGATCCACACCCATCTGGCTGTCACCATCTCCTCCAGCACACTCTCTCCCCAGCTCCCAGGCTGTTCCCTTAGGATCCCTGTAACCCTCTACAGGACCTATTACATGTGGCCTTGTAAGGTCTTCTATCTCCCTGCAGATGTGAAAATCCTCACGAACAGGGAACATATCCTATTCTTTGTATTTCCTCTAACATCTAGCACTAGGCCTCATGCAGAGAAGATGTTCAACAAAGGCAAGCTGTTGGAATAGAGTGATGAAAAATCTCCAGTGAAGACTTGTCAGCAAGCAGGAGTTTGTCAAGTATTTGAAGAAGAAAATGCTAAACAAAGCTAAACTCCAGCTAAGAAACAGATTTTCTTGCTTCACAATTTTGCTTGTGGTTTACAGGTACATTTTGAAAGTGAAATCGCTCAGTCGTGTCTGACTCTTTCCGATCACATGGACTGTAGCCTACCAGGCTCCTCCATCCATGGGATCTTCCAGGCAAGAGTACTAGAGTGGGTTCCCATTTCTTTCTCCAGGGGATCTTCCCAACCCAGGGATTGAACTCAGGTCTCCTGCATTGCAGGCAGACGCTGCACCACATGAGCTACCATAGAACAGACCAGCCTAATTAGGAATGCAAAAGCAGATTTACATGCTGATACAGTCTTCCTTACTTCAATAATCAGCACTTAAATATATTCAATAGCTTTTTACAGAAATTCACATTTGTGTGGGACACAGAAAAATCAGATGGAAACAATTTTGAAGTCACTTTTGAACACATCCTCTTTCATCCTGACAGCATTCGGTGGTGTCTTACCTGCTCTCCTTTCTGTCCAGGTGAGCCTGCTTCTCCATGAGCAGAAATGAATTCTGTGTTAACACATATTCTGTCACACTGAACTAAATACATATAGTTTATAAATCAGCTGACAATAGCAAGACAAAGCTTTGCTCTCCTGGGAGCTGATACAGATCCCTCTGCAGGGAGTCTCTTCTCCCCCTGCCAAAGGCTCACTACCCACCTCTTGCAAACACCTGCCAGCATCATCTCCTCCTGGAGACCTGTCATGGGCTGGGACGCACGCTCTCCTCCACACCCCCTGCACCTCGTATAGCCTTGCTCACAGAGCTCACACTGCAGTACTGGTTGCCAGAGGAAATGTAAGGTTCCTCTAAACTTCTAACTCACCTTCCTCCCCACTCCTCCAGCCAGGACGGGAAGCGGTAGCAGGAAGCCCTGAGCCTGAGCATGCAAGAAGTAACAGCACCTCGGACCTCTAGGAGCTAGGACAAGTTTTCCTACCCTTGAGTACTGGTATAAGGGAAACTGTCCAGAGGTCACTCAGCCTACTTCAAGGACAGGTCTCATAATGTCATCAACATCCACAAAAGACATTCATGTCCCTCGATGGACCCAGGCTTCCTGACCAGGAAAGGGCAAGCGAAACAAATTCTTTGGGCAATCACAGCCCTTCTGCATTCCCCATACAACTCACAGCAGAGGGGAAGTCTGGGTGGGTATTTGGAGTGGACAGATGCAGTCTCCACAGCACAGAGATACACTGTGTGGAGCACCGTTGGATGTGTTGGAGGGCAGGCACTGTGACTCCCTCAGCTTGTGAACTCCCAAAAGTGAAAGTGAAGTGCTCAGCCGTGTCTGACTCTCAGCGACCCTATGGACTGTTGCCTACCAGCCTCCTCCATCCATGGGGTTTTCCAGGCAAGAGTCCTGGAGTGGCTGCCACTTTCTTCTCCAGAATTTCCATGACTGAAGCCTATTCCTGGCATGTGTTTCATCCTGTCGTACAGGTGGTTCCTCCCTTTATTTTCCTTTTCATTCTACTTCCTTCCCAGGAAAGAAGGTCAGATGGCCTCAGAACTATCCAGATTGAAATCCAGGGAATCCTAACCCCAAGCCTTTCTCTTTAACCCACCCAGGGATGGAGGGGCCCAGGCACCTGAGTCAACGCGCAGCAGATGGCAAGCTGCGTTCTGCACACAGGGCCACACTCACAGGCCTGGCTCATAGTGTGGAGTGGCTTTCCCGTGGGCACAGGTGAAGAGCATACCTTGAGTGGCACGCACTGGCACTGGTCTGTGAGTCCCTGCTTTGCTGGCAGGAATGCAGATATTCTGCTGGCATGAGCAGGTGCTGGTGATGCTGCAGGACCTCCAAAGCCAGGCTGCTCTGGGCACTGAAATCCAGAAAGAGGCTTTAGGATACAGAGTCAATTCCAAACACTGTGACGTTCCCAGCACTGACTCCCACCAAACTAGGCATGGTTGGGTTTACCTGCAAGAACTTGCTTCTAACAACCAAGGGTTCACACCAGCATGTGAAAGTCCACAACGACTTTGCCCTTTCACTAGCCTCCTGTGTTTCTATTACAACGATAACATACTAGAATTGTATTAAAATGCCAGGTCTGGTGAGAAATTCTAAAGCTATTATATGTGACTTTATGACAAGTACAGCAACATCAAATATTTATAAGAACTGAATTGTTACAGTAAAATGTTTTACACAAATAACATTGGTATATCTGTTCTGGAAACAAATTTAGAAAAAAAGAATGTAATTCGAACTTTTAAAACATTGTTTACTTCAACAAGATGATGATAAAGACATGTAAAAGTAAAAAATAATCTCTTTTATGCTCTAAGATGGTATATAGTTACTCAAAATATGTATATCTTATTCCATTCCATTGTTCTATAAAGTTATTAAAATCTTCCCTGTAACAAAGTGATGACTTTTATCACTTCTCCAATGGGTTCGTAAGGTGTAAATTTGGTTACAAAGCAATGAACTTTTTTTCTATCAAAAAATAAACCCAGATGGAGCATTTGAAGAAGATAAATGTTTCCTTTCCCCTCAACATCATTTACAAGAGTCCTTACCACGGTCTGTAACTCTGAATCTGCATTTTCATGAATTTACAATTTCATATCTCTGAATTTGCAGTTTATGGGGAAGGCTTCACACATTACTTTATATACTTCAAATCATATATGCCTGGGAAAATATTGTCAGGATACAAAATTAAAATATTGTCCGTGGTTATTTATTGTGGTGATATCACAATTGATATTTATTTCCTTCTTTGAAGCTGGCTATATTTTCCAAATTTTACGTAGTAAACATACATTGCTTTTCAAACCAAAAAAATTTGAAAAATTGGTAGTTCTAATGCTTTTGAGCACAGTAAACACTATAAGAAAAATAGCTCCCAGAAAAACTGCGATTAGTTTCCTGTCTTTTTCACTAGTTCTATCAAATTTACTGTCTGCAGATTTAATGATTAGCTATTTAGTTATTCACATTAAACTTCCAAGTCTATGAGTCTAAAAATTACATTAGAATGAAATACACAGGATTATCACTAAAACGGTCCATTTATCTCATATGATTTGATACAGTTTTCCAGCCAGGTCCTGCCCTGTGTCCCATGGGTTCAGTTAAGGTAATTAAGATGCAGTTGAAGCTCACAATTTTGTTCTGGTAACTGATTCACTACTTTACATTGGGATTTAAATGACTTCAAAAACACGTCTCCGGCTTCACTATAAAACTGCCCACACATTCCAAAAAGTGCCAACAGGGAACAAAAGACGTACAAGTAGGGACCCCTTTCTTCATAAAACCTCTGGTTTTGATTTCAGTTAATTAGCCCTTCAACATTTTAATAATCTCTTTCATTTATTTTCAGCAAATGTTGCTGATTTTCTCCTTTTCTCCTTATTTATTCTTCATTCTCTCTGTCTAGGTCTGTAGTCATGAAACCTGACTGCTTCAGAAAAAGAAAATCTAATTAATAGCAGCAAGGAAGTATATTTATAGATTATACTGAATAAATTTCACTTTTGAAATATACTATAAAATATTAATAACAGAAAGGATGTCTGAGTTGAAATTACAGGACAAAATTAGATTTTTAAGCAAGTATATTAAAATTTCCTAAGTTCAAATATTAAAAAAATATATAGTTGATGCCAGAATGATGGCAAATGTACTGAATTAGCTTTCCAAAACATACAGTTCCATTAAACGTAAATGCAGCATGTTCTATTTCCTGTTAAACAGGAACAGAATGGTAATGTCCCCCATAAATACTTGTGAGCAGGAAAAGAGGTCTTTTATAAATTTTTTCAAGCTTGGAGATGAATTCCTATCTTATTTTCTACTCTTTAAAACTAAATCCCTTTAAAACATGATTTTTTTCATAATGTGTGGGGTCATGTCACTGCTTTTAATTCCAAATTTAATTCCAAATCATACCACTGAATGCATTTGCCTATTTCCTTAAACAATTTTCTTGTAATTCAAGTTGGAGCGACTGTTGGTAAAGAATATAATATTCATGTACATCAAAAACATCATTACATGAAAAATCAAGAGAAAGTAAGGAATCAATACCATTCACCACTGCAACAAAAAGAATAAAATATCTAGAAATAAACCTACCTAAGGAGAAAAAGACCTGTATACAGAAAACTATAAGACACTGATGAAAGAAATCAAAGATGATATTAACAGATGGAGAGATATTCTATGTTCCTGGGTAGGAAGAATCAATATTGTGAAAATGACAGTACTACCAAATGCAATCTACATATTCAATGCAATCCCTATCAAATTACCACTGGTATTTTTCACAGAACTAGAACAAAAATATTCATAGTTCATATGGAAACACAAAAGACCCCAAATAGCCAAAGTAGTCTTGAGAAACAAGAATGGAGCTGGAGGAATCAACCTTCCTGACTTCAGATTATACTACAAAGCTACAGTCATCAAGACAGTGTGGTACTGGCGCAGAAACAGAAATATAGACCAATGAAACAAGATAAACAACCCAGAGATAAACCCACGCACCTATGTGTACCTTATTTTTGACAAAGGAGGTAAGAATATGCAATGGGGCAAAGACACCCTCTTTAATAAGCAGTGCTGGGAAAACTGGACAGCTACATAGAAAAGAATGAAATTAGATCACTACTTAACACCATACACAAAGAGGAACTCAAAATAGATTATAAAGACCTAAATGTAGGACCAGAAACTATTAAACTCATAGAGGATAACGTAGGCAGATCGATGACATAAATCAAAGCAAGATCTTCTATGACTCACCTCCTAGAGTAGTGAAAATAAAAACAAAAATAAACAAGTGGGACCTAATTAAACTTAAAAGCTTTTGCACAGCAAAGGAAACTACACACAAGGTGAAAAGACAATCCTCAGAATGGGAGAAAATAATAGCAAATGAAACAACTGATAAAGAATTAATTTCCACAATATACAAGCAGCTCAGACAACTCAATACCAGAAAAGCAAACAATAAAAAAAGTGGTAAAAAGTGGTAAAAAGACCTGAAGAGACATTTCTCCAAAGAAGACATACAGATGGCTAACAAGCACATGAAAAGATGCTCAACATCACTCAATATCAGGGAAATGCAAATCAAAACTACAATGAGATATTACCTCACACTAGTCAGAATGGCCATCATCAAAAAGTCTACAAACAATAAACGCTGGAGAGGATGTGGAGAAAAGGGAACACGCTTGCATTGCTGGTGGGAATGTAAACTGATACAGCCACTATGAAAGATGGTATGGAGATTCCTTACAAAGCTAAGAATAAAACCACCATATGACCCAGCAATCCCACTCCTAGGAAATAAAAACTGAAAAAGACACATGTACCCCGATGTTCACTGCAGCACTATTTACAATAGCTAGAACACGGAAGCACCCTAGATGTCCATCAACAGATGAATGGATAAAGAAGCTGTGGTGCTTTAGTATTCAGTGAAATACTACTCAGCCATTAAATGGAACTCATTTGAATCTGTTCTAATGAGGTGGACGAATCTAGAGCCTATTATACAGAGTGAAGTAAGTCAGAAAGAGAAATATAAATATCATATACTGACACATATATATGAAATCTGAAGAGATGGCACTGATGAATTCATGTTTAGGGCAGCAATGGAGAAACAGGCAGAGAACAGACTTATGGACATGGTGGGAAGAGAGGAGGGAGAAGGGGAAATGTATAGAGAGTAACATAGAAATTTACAATACTATATGTAAAATAGATAGCCAATGGGAATTGGCTGTATGACTCAGGGAACTCAAATGGGGCTCTGCAACAGGCTGAAGGGTGGAATGGGGAGGGAGATGGGAGGGAGGTCTGGGAGGGAGGGGACATGGGTATACCTATGGCTGATTCTTGTTGATGTATGACAGAAAACTACAAAATTCTGTAAAGCAATTATCCTTCAATTAGAAATTTTTTTTAAGAAAATGAACCAATAATAAAAAAAATTATATTACTTTTCAATCAAGGAAAATTATTAGTTTTAAGAGCTCTCACATAAAAGCTAAAAAAAACCAATTAACTAATGAAAGAAATTTTTTGAAGAAGTCACATCTTCAATATTTAAATGTGTGGCTCCAGGAAGTCTAGGTATTTCAAGTCTGTAGATTGGCATTCTAAATTATCTTTTCAGATATTTATAGAAAGATATTTGGCTGGCTTTCATTGTAATGGGAGCCATGAACTAGATTAGAGATACAATTTATTAAACCAAGTTACTTAAGCAAAATATACAATTTTTAGAGATATAGCTATGCTTTGAGTCAGTTGGTCACATTATTACTCTACTACCCAAAGTGAGTGATAAAAGTTTAAAACATTTTTGACTACTAAATTATTAATAAAATTTTATTTTCAGTGGTTAAAGTGTAGAACTTCTGGGAAATCTGACACAAAGAATAATATTTTCACATTTTGCTTTTACTTTTTATATGTTCTTTCTGTTAAAGACTTCTTAGAATTAATCCATTTCAAACTACAGTCAAGAAGTCAAGAAACAATGTTTTGACCCCTTTTACAAACAAAGCACCAGGAATCATAAAAGAAGCGTACAAAAGTATAATCTCATCAATGAATTTAAAAGGAAGTTGAATAAATTAAAAACAAATACAACTATAATGATAAGGTGCACAAATGGCCATTGCAATAAGAGATACCTAAAGTACTGAATTGAGTACTTTTTGAAAGAAAGGTTAGTACAAGAAAGCAATAGTTGTAGAGTTAGGTGGAAGATATTAAGAATTAGAGGCTAAGTAACTGAATTTATAACGTTGTGAACAGACAGTGACCAAAGGCTTGGAGACAGAGATGAGTAGAGGGCAGGGAATGAGCCTTATTGAGGTTAGCTAGCCTTGTTCCTTAGCACAATGCCCAAAAGATCAATGCTTTTGAATAAGAGATGTTCAGTGGAAGAATGTAAATGAATCTACAAAGCAGTGATTTGGAGACTTATTCTGGTTATCCTGGGGATGGGAAAGGCTGATGGCATGATAATACAACAGTCTAGGCACCAAGTAAAGCCAGAAATAGGAGCAGGGAAGATGCAGTGAAAAAACCTCTCAGAAAGGAAAACTGCCCAGAACAGGTGGCAGGCTAGGAGAGAGAAGTGATCACAGATGTCAAACCCCTACAACTGGAAAGTGATGATCCTTCCATCAGAACATGTCAGAACATAGTTTAGGAATGAAGGCACGGATGGATTCTCTTTTACTCATGTTGAGTCCAAAGTAAGACCATATCATTCCTGAAGTTCAGGATAAAACACTGGGATTAAAATGGTGGCAAGAAATGATGGGAAGGCCTCAAGAGGGGTCTCTGGCTTGGAACTGTTTGCTCAACTGGTTTCAACAGCACACATTCTGGGCTGCTCTACACGTCACTCTACAGCCCAGGCAACTGGCCTTCCATGGTCTTCACACACCAGAAAATGAACTTACCTGAATGTCTGATATCTCGCAACATGTTTCTTGGGCTATGAAGTTCCAGTTACAGTAGATCTGAAGTTGGTGAAGTTCAATCTATTAAAAAATTAGTAATAAGACATATTATTAATGTTGTTTGAAAATCACATTTGGGCATTTGAGAATGATGTTAACTGGAAAGAAAAAAATAAGCTAGTACAAATAAATCACTGGCAGATATTTTGGGTTTTATTTCATTTAGGATTCATGATTTTATGGACCATTTCAGAAACAGCAATAGACCTAGTTGTTGAGATAGATATATATGTAAAGAAAATCACATAATAAGAGCAATTGCAAATCTTTGCTCTTTGTTTCAAACCATGAAAAAAAAGAAGTATTTAATTAGAGATAATGCACTACAATAAAGTATGCTCACAAAATGAGGAATATTTCAAAGTAAAAAAATTCTGGAGAAAAAGTAAAGTAAAAGGTACGAGCTCATGATGGAAAAGGCTTTATCTGTAGTTCCAGACCTCCAACTTGAGGGACTAAAACAGATGCTCACTTACCAAGGTGGGGAAAAAAAATGGTATTTAGTTTTATATATTTTTCATGGATTCTGTTTAATACCTATGGATTTTATGTTATATGGCATACTCCTGGCCAAGACTCACAATCTTTTTGCAAAAATAATTGATTCTTCTCTTTGCTCAGCAAATTCACATTTGTTGGCATTTGGATATGAAATTAAAAGTAGTTTCAGGGAAGTACAATCATTCCTGTAAAGGCAAGGCCAAATAACCACATCAGAGAAAGCAAACGGTACAGAATATTGACAAAATTTCAATATGACAGATGGGCAGAGGCACTGTTTTAAATTAGTCTATGGTTGCAAATTTAATAATTTATTAATAACATATGATAATTTGACATATAATATAGGCCATAAACAGCCTCTTCCCCCTTGCCTTCTCATCCCCCTCCCCATCTTTCTCTTTCTCTCTCTCCTCTTTTCTTCCCCCTCTTTCTCTATATCCTAATGTAACAGAGGTAGAGTATGCATTTCTTTGAGATCATCATTTTCTACAGTGAGACCCAACTGTAATAACATAACAGTTAATTCTATGATAACAGAAAGCAAGTATCTGTGGTTAGCTCGGAATCTCTACCCCAACACCAAAAAAGCAAGAAAGGAGGAAAAAGGCTGTAACTATTCTCTACACTGAAATGAACAGAATAATTTCAGCTCAGAAAGCATTAAGAATGCCAGACGTCTTTCAGATTCATGAGCAGCTTAAGATTTGCAGCCAATGCAAAATTCTGATGAAATGAAAAATGAAACGCAATGCTTTCTTCTCTATAACCTTTTCCAAGGTGACTGAAGTAAGCTTTTATTTATAAAGTTTAAATACACTGTCTTACATAGTCTAATGAAAGATCAGGCAGTAACATACCCATTATATAGAATGAAGAATGAGGAGACTCCCATTAACATTTTCCTTAACTAAAACTAATTTATCATCAACACTGTTACCTGGATGGTCAATAAACACTGAAATTCTATTATGTGTCATCCACTGTTTTAGGGCCTTCATATGAAGTATTTTACTTAACTGAAGATAAATGACCAATTTTTTATGAATTAGAACCTAATAAAGTACCTATGACACTGCAACTACAAGCAGCCTAGTTTAATTATGCTTTTTTAATTCATTAGTTACTTTAGAATCTTTCATTGACAGTGTTTTAGAATAAGAATACACTGACTCTGTCACAAAGAATTTGTTTTAAAAAATACTTTTATCAGTTTTGTCACCTATCTCTCTACACAAAAGCACATGGGTAGTACACGTGCAATAAAATGCAATCACTAGAAGTTTTTTCAATAAATTACATTCCAAAAAAATGAAACATTTTCACATTACAACAGGTCTTATAAATCACAGGGTTTGTATGGAGATGATAAAAATAATTAGTTTACTTACAGTTTTAGTAGGATTTAGAATCTTTGAAAAATAAAATGTATTTTACTTGCCTAACTTAAATAGTGAATATCTCTTTTAAAAGCTCCATCATTGTGATATTATTTTTAAGTGAACTTAATATTATTAAGTGAATATAATATTATTTTTAAGTGAACTAAGATTCCACATTAAACCAGAAAACCATTGTAAAACTACAATGTTCACAGTGTCTTTTTATCAGGACACACAACGATATCCTTTAGTCTCAGACTGTTCCCTTGAGTAAGAAGTTAATGAAACACAGGACACAACACTCAACCTCCAGAGCAGAGCTCTGAGCCAGAACCCACTCTTGCAATAACTTGTTCCTCTCGCATTGCTGCCTCTCCTTCAAAGGCTAGGCACTTACAGCCTAGTCCTAAAGCTCTTTGGTTCCTGCAGTTCCCCACTTTGCCTTCACTAGCCATGCGGGAAATCAGATGCCACTCAACAGCAGTGCTCCAGCAAGAGCAACCATCACTCCCTACTGCTGTTCTCAGAATTCCCTGAGGATCACTTCCTGTCTGTCTACGCTCCCCCCACTGCTGGAAGTCACACCTCAGGCTTAGCTGCTGAGACCCACTTCCCCTCTGACTTTGGAGAGACCTTTCTGAAAGGTCTGCCGAGGACTGTTGCCATTCAGCTCAGTTCAGTCGCTAAGTCGTGTCCGACTCTTTGCGACCCCATGAACCACAGCACACCAGGCCTCCCTGTCCATCACCAACTCCCGGAGTCCACCCAGACCCATGTCCAACGAGTCAGTGATGCCATACAACCATCTCATCCTCTGTCGTCCCCTTCTCCTCTTGCCCTCAATCTTTCCCAGCATCAGGGTCTTTTCAAATGAGTCAGCTCTTCCCATCAGGTGGCCAAAGTACTGAAGTTTCAGCTTCAGCAAAGGTCCTTCCAATGAACACCCAGGACTTATCTCCTTTAGGATGGACTGGTTGGATCTCCTTGCAGTCCAAGGGACTCTCAAGGGTCTTCTCCAACACCACAGGTCAAAAGCATCAGTTCTTCGGCACTCAGCTTTCTTCACAGTCCAACTCTCACATCCATACATGATCACTGGAAAAACCATAGCCTTGACTAGACTGACCACTGTTGACAAAGTAATGCCTCTACTTCTTAATGTGCTATCTAGGTTGGTCATAACTTTCCTTTCAAGGAGTAAGCATCTTTTAATTTCATGGCTTCAATCACCATCTGCAGTGATTTTGGAGTCCAGAAAGATAAAGTCAGCCACTGTTTCCACTGTTTCCCCATCTATTTGCCATGAAGTGATGGGACTGGATGCCATGATCTCAGTTTTCTGGATGTTGAGTTTTAAGCCAACTTTTTCACTCTCCTCTTTCACTTTCATCAAGAGGCTTTTTAGGTCTTCTTCACTTTCTGCCATAAGACTAGCTTTGTTTATAGTGATGCTTCCTAAGGCCCACTTGACTTCACATTCCAGGATGTCTGGCTCTAGGTGAGTGTGAGTGATCACACCATCGTGATTATCTGGGTTGTGAAGATCTTTAGTTCTTCCATGTATTCTTGCCACCTTTTCTTTATATCTTCTGCTTCTGTTAGGTCCATACCTTTTCTGTCCTTTATTGAGCCTATCTTTAAATGAAATGTTCCCTTGGTATCTCTAATTGTCTTGAATGATCTCTAGTCTTTCCCATTCCATTGTTTTCCTCTATTTCTTTGCATTGATCGCTGAGGAAGGCTTTCTTATCTCTCCTTGCTATTCTTTGGAACTCTGCATTCAAATGGGTATATCTTCCCTTTTCTCCTTTGCTTTTCACTTCTTTTCACAGCTATTTGTAAGGCCTCCTCAGATAGCCGTTTTGCTTGTTTGCATTTCTTTTTCTTGGAGGTGGTCTTGATTCCTTTCTCTTGTACAATGTCACGAACCTCCGTCCATAGTTCATCAGGCACTCTGTCTATCAGATCTGGTCCCTTAAATCTATTTCTCACTTCCACTGTATAGTCTGAAGGGATTTGATTTAGGTCATACCTGAATGGTCTAGTGGTTTTCCCCACTTTCTTCAATTTGACTCTGAATTTGGCAATAAGGAGTTCCTGATCTGAGCCACTGTCAGCTCTCGGTCTTGTTTTTGCTGACTGTGTAGAGCTTCTCCACCTTTGGCATAATCAATCTGATTTTGGTGTTGACCATAACAGTCGATTAATACTGTGATTACTACTGGCAGCCGCCGTTTACTGACAAAGGCTTATTCCATCTTTACTGATACAGACTTAGTCTCTAAGACCTTTGAGAGAGGAGTAGTAGGCTTTGTTGTTCTTGTTGTTGCTTTTCAGTCTTTTATGCCAGGACTGAACAGCATGTGTTGTGCTGTGCTGTACTTAGTCGCTCAGTCGTGTCTGACTCCTTGTGACCCTGCGCACTGTAGCCTGCCAGCTCCTCTGTCCATGGGGATTCTCCAGGCAAGAATACTGGAGTGGGTTGCCATGCCCTCCTCCAGGGAATCTTCCCAACCCCGGGATCAAATCCAGGTATCCTGCTTTGCAGGCGAATTCTTTACCATCTGAGCCACCAGGGAAGCCCACCAAATGGTATGTCGGGCCCTAAATAAATAAATGAATATACAAAGAACTGACCATACACCATGCATTATGGCACATACTCCATGAAATTTTTAATCTACCATTATTGCTTTATAACTGAGGATACTGAGACTTTGAAAAAATAATAGGAACAAGATAAATTACCAAGTCATAATAGCTAAGTGGATGAGCTCTGATTTAAAATCCCATCTTTCTGATCCCCAAGCAAGCTCACTCTCTCTGATACTAAGATGTCTTATCTCCAGAACTGGTCTCTGCTCTAGCCTATTTTAATAATCATCAGTGAACCCTAGTTAAGTCATTCTCACTGATTTGTTCATTGTCTCTGAGAGTAAACAGTTTAAAAATAATATTTTATTGGTGATATATATATGTAATATCTGTCTATATATCTATCTGTCATCTATCTCTGATGCCTTCCACAGGAACCTTTAAAAATAATATGCTAGCCAAACACGTACTTGCACAGAATCATATTTTTGAAATAAAACCTAACTGTGAAGTGCTTTGTGTTAACCATTCCTATTGGTGGTCTGCACTCAGATTATTTGTATGGGTTTTCCCATCATTCCACCCATAAGAACATGTGAAGTCATCAAATTTAGATATAGCCCCCCCTCCCCCGTTTTAAAGATAGTGGTTGTGTTTCAATCCAACAGAACTCTGAAAAACCATTATAAACTAATGAAAAATAGTCTGCAATACAAACACTTGTGAATCTGAGGATGAATAAATAGCCTATTATTCTTGAATGAAAACTTCAGATAATCTGGAACCATTTAACTTCATCTTTTTCCAGTCTTTCTATTCAAAACATATGAACTTAGATCAAACTTATGTGTATGTATGCATTAGTCGCTCAGTCGTGTTTGACTCTTTGCAACCCCATGGACCGTAGCCTCCCATGGAATTCTCCAGACAAGAATACTGGAATGGGTTGCCATTCCCTTCTCCAGGGGATCTTCCCAACCCAGGGATCGAGTCCAGGTCTCCTGCATGGCAGGTAGATCCTTTACCATCTGAAGTACCTGGGAAGCCCAGATCAAGCTTAGTTTTGTATAATATTTTCAATTTTTACTAAAATTTAATTTTAATAACTTATTTTAAGGCATTACCTAGTTCTTTCAAATTGACAGGCTAGAGAAAAATAAGTGAAAACAGATAGAAAATAATATATGTGAAAATATGACTGGAAATACATAGCTATGCTTCACACATCTGATAGCAAATTAAGCAGTGCTAAGAAAGAAATATCTTACATAGCTACTAAAGGCAAAAAGGTTTTAATAAGACATTTTCTTTAAATTTATAAATGTTACTAGTTCACAACTCACATCCACAGGTTTGCCATCTGAAGCTCGGGCAGCAATAACAGTCCTTCCACGGAAGTCCACGGTACTCTTTGCATCAGTATGCCGGCTTGCAACTAAGTTACAATCCACATAGAGCGAAATGGCCTGGGATTGTATACCAAAGCCAAGTTTATGCCACTGACGATCAAACAAAGAACGGAGTTCTTGATTTTTAAAAATGTAGTTCAACACATCTCCCTCGGCAGCTTGGAACATCAATTCCACCACCTTCCTTCCACCATCAACTATTACAGAAACCTGCAAAAATGCAAATGATCTTTAAATGTTTGAAATTAAGTTTTAAAACTTATTAAAGATACAAATAAAAACTCAAGTTGCATGTTAGTAGAACTGGGGCACTCAGTAAAATGTTCTAAATGACATTTGTGTCCATCAGGTTTCTTAAGATAAAAGAACAGTAAACATCCAGCTACAAAAATTATTTAAATATGTGGTATTTGGTGAGTGTAGTATGCTCCTTTTGTGAGAGGACATCTAGGAGTATATACGCACGCGCGCGCGCGTTTGTGTATGTGTGTGTGTGTGTAAAAATCTCTGTATAAGTAATTCAAGAATTAAATGCCACTAATTTTAAAAGAATAAGAGATGATCACTTCCCTTAGCATGGAAACTGAGATCAACCTCGTTAACCTTTGATGATTTGCATGGTGCAGAGAAAATACATTTTCACAGAGTGCATATTCTTCCTGTTCAAGTCATATTTCCATCATAAAATTGTGACTATAATAACAGATATAAAAGATCATTAAAATGAAAAACATTTTTTAAATTTTTAATTAATTAATTTTAATTGGAGGCTAATTACTTTACCATATTGTGGTGGTTTTTGCCATACACTGACATGAATCCGCCACAGGTGTACATGTGTTCCCCATCCTGAACCCCCCTCTGACCTCCCTCCCCATCCCATCCCTCAGGGTCATCCCAGTGCATCAGCCCTGAGCATCCTGTCTCACGCATTGAGCCTGGGCTGGAGATCTGTTTCACATACAGTAATAAAAACATTTTGATGGATATGTACAGAAATAAACACAGATAGATGATGCCCATCAGTAACTGTGATGTTCACCTTCACTCCCTGGAGTACCTGCTCCCTTCCTTTCTGATCAACCTCTCTCACAAGTATTCCTAGATCCCTGCTCGCCTCATGGCCATCTGGGGGAGCTGTCTTTTCCACACTCCCACAATTCTCACCCAATTCCAAACTGTCCTCAGCCACCATAACCCTGCACTCGTGCTCCAATGTGGCATCCCCAGACCTTAGGCTCCCTGAGAACAGAAATCAAGCTTTGCCCATTTCTTATTTTGTCACCAACTAGCATCTAGCATGTGTTCAATTATTTTCTATTGATGGAATCAATATTTATATCTCATTCCCTAATTCATTAGGGATTTCAGATGAAACAATTAACAGCTTTTAAGTATATAATAGGAGATATCAGAAATGATAGGAGATGAAGAAGTTGTTAGTGAGATACACTTGGTGTCAATGAAGCAGTTATAAAGCAAGGGCAACCAGTTTGAGTGTCTTCAGACAAAACAGGAATCCAGAAAAAACAAAACAAAACAAAACTCAATCGTGTCTCACCCACCAGGCTCTCCAATTACATATCTCAGTGAGAGCCCCCTAACTCTAAGAATACTTGCATTTTCTGTGGATGATTCCTCTAAAAGAATACTCCGATATGAGGTCTGCTCCCAAATTTATGCCCACAGTTTCAAGCGACAACACTCATCAGCATACCTCTCTGGTTCCATCCTTACCTGTGGCATATTACGCTGGTTTAAAACCTGCCACAGGAACCACCGTTCCTTCTTCGCACTCCTTCGCACCCGAAACATGGTAGCTATGGCGAACTCCTCAGGAAGGCCTTTGGGAAATATCTTACTGTGGGAGGAAAACAAAGAACCATTGTGTGGAAACTGAAGCAGGCAAGAACAGAGTATCTCAGTATGAAGGTTTCTGCAACTCAGTATCTCAGCCGTATTTTCTCAATGAATTTATAACTCATTACAGACATCTACCTAATGAATATGGAAGCAGTCACAGCTACAGTTACCTATGGAATTTTTATCCTGTTCTTTCCCTTTTTATAAATTTCCTGATAAGTGTTGCTAAAGCTTGAGGTGTGTAAAAGCAAGCAACTTTCAGACTATTGTACTATGGAGTGATATTCCTTCAACATGATATTCCCATAGCATCTTAGAATTCACTGCAGTCTTGCAAACAGTAGACACTTATAAAGAAAATAAATAATACCTCCTGGTTTTATTAGTAGAGAGAAGTACAGGGCATTTTAAAGAGCACTATTAACAATTACATGTATATTATTCCAAAGAAGTTTTACCATGTTAAACTCTTGCAAAATAAATTCCTAATTCTGATTTCCTAGTAGGTATCAATTTAAGACTGAAATTAAATATCATAAAGGCATTTTAGCTCATTTTTTCATTCCTACAGAAAATAAAAATATGCAAATTTTTCCTAGGTAGCAGAGAAGCCTAAAGTCAGTCCAAGTATGCTTTTGCCTCAATCTTGTTTCAAAATACTGGTCTCACTGGATCTATGAAGAAACTTCAGGGAAAAAATTCACAGTGAACACACATCATATTTAAACTTTCATTTGAAACCATGGAGAAATACCTTCCTTCATGTTGACTTTTAAACTTATCCACATTGTATATAAACACTCTGCAAGGCAGGAATCTTGCTTTTCTTTTAAAAAATCATGAGTAGCAGATACAAATTCTCTTGAGGCTAACACAGCCAGAGGTTGTTTATATAAATAAAATATCATACATTGAGATAGGAACTACTAACTGGGACTTCCCTGGTGGCTCAGACAGTAAAGAATGTGCCTTCAGTGCAGGAGACCTAGGTTTGATCCCTGAGTCAGAAAGATCCTCTGGAGAAGGGAATGTCAACCCACTCCAGTATTCTTGCCTGGAGAATTCCATGGACAGAAGACCCTGGCGGGCTATGGTCCATGGGGTTGCAAAGAGTCAGACACTGGGAATATCACACCAAGCTCCACTGAAACTGACAACCAAACAGATGGAAAATTCTGAAACTTCTGTTTTACACTTTGTGTTAGAGACAAAGTCACATGTAGTAAGGAAATCAGGAAAAAACATGAAAAAGGTATGCTAGCCTAAAGTTCTTACTTGGTTAAATACATATACACACACATATTATGCATATATGTATATGTTCATGCATGTACACAAGCATACCTCAAGAACATTGCAGGCTTAGTTCCAGATTACTAGAATGAAGTGAATATCACAGTAAAGTGAGTCACACAAATTTTCTGGTTGCCTATTGTATGTAAAAGTTGTACTTACACAATACTGTACTCTATTATATCTATATCTGGCATTCTATCTAAAACATACATAAAATGTTATTGCTAAGAAAAAATGCTAGCCACCATCCGACAACACACATATGTCACAAACCTTCAATATGGAAAAAAAGAAAAATCAGTAATATCTGTGAAGCACAGGAAAGCGAAGCACAATAAAAGGAGGTTGGTCTGTATATAGGCAGATACAGATATAAACTGTAGTTTTAGCTTCTTCACTAACCTGCTTACCCCCAGCCTGGAGGCTATCCGGCTCTCTTGTCTGGCTGGATGATGAATGAGGAAGTAACTCAGGGCCTCATTTTCATCCCGCGCCCGCGCGCACACACACACACACACACACACACACCCTTTCCAGCCTCCACAGAGGCGCCCTGACTCCTCCCTGGGTTGAGCCTCTCCGGTGCCTGGGGAAGCACCCCGGCCCATGTGCCAACAGCGCCTACCTAGCAGTTTCCTCCTCTAAGTGCTTGTGACTCCACGGCTTCCTGTCTTCCGAGAAGGTATCATCTCTTCCTGTTGCTTCATCTCCCATTCTACCGCCATTTTTGTACTTCAGATGTTAAAACTCCATTTATGTCTCCCACCTCTCCCTCACCAATACCCGTCTTATCTTGGTTTACAAATATATGCATATCTTCACCCTCTTCCCTGCTGTAAAACAGACAAAGCTCTCTCCATCCTCACTACTGCATTATATTAATATTACCTGTATATAGCCATCAAACCTCTTAAATGGGAACACCTACACTGTCAAAGGCCTGAGTTGTCAGACTTCCTGCAATCTGCAAGCATCGCTCTCTGCTCTCGCGAGGATGCTCACCACTCCTTCCCGCGACGACCATCACGTGATACAGCCTCACCCAATCAGCAGTTGCTGTTTCTCCAGCCAAATAAAAGAACTCTCCTCAGCGGACCTTCAAGTGGCAGCAACCTTCTGAGGCGAGCTCCAGACGAGCTGGGAGCTGCTGCAGCCACCAATGGCAAAGACAGACCAGCCTGTTCATTCAACTGCCATATGACCCAGCAATCCCACTGCTGGGCATACACACTGAGGAAACCAGAATTGAAAGAGACACGTGTACCCTTGTTCATTGTAGCACTGTTCATAATAGCCAGGACATGGAAGCGACCTAGATGTCCATTGCAGATGAATGGATAAGAAAGCTGTGGTACATATATGCAATGGAATATTCAGTTCAGTTCAGTTTAGTCGCTCAGTCGTGTCTGACTCTTTGAGACCCCATGAATGGCCAGGCCAGGCCTCCCTGTCCATCACCAACTCCCGGAGTTTACTCAAACTCATGCCCATCAAGTCGGTGATGCCATCCAACCATCTCATCCTCTGTCGTCCCCTTCTCCTCCTGCCCCCAATCCCTCCCAGCATCAGGGTCTTTTCCAATGAGTCAACTCTTCGCATGAGGTGGCCAAACTATTGGGATTTCAGCTTCAGCATCAGTCCTTCCAATGAACACTCAGGACTTATCTCCTTCAGGATGGACTGGTTGGATCTCCTTGCAGTCCAAGGGACTCTCAAGAGTCTTCTCCAACACCACAGTTAAAAAGCATCAATTTTTCAGCACTCAGCTTTCTTCACAGTCCAACTCTCACATCCATACATGACCACTGGAAAAAACCATAGCCTTGACCTGATGGACCTTTGTTGGCAAAGTAATGTCTCTGCTTTTTAATATGCTATGTAGGTTGGTCATAACTTTCCTTCCAAGGAGTGTCTTTTAATTTCATGGCTGCAGTCACCATCTGAAGTGATTTTGAAATATTACTCAACTATTAAAAAGAATGCATTTTAATCGGTTCTAATGAGGTGGATGAAACTGGAGCCGAATATACAGAGTGAAGTAAGTCAGAAAGAAAAACACCAATACAATATATTAACACATATATATGGAATTTATGATGACCCTATATGTGAGATAGCAAAAGAGACACAGATGTAAAAAACAGACTTTTGGACTCTGTGGGAGAAGGTGAGGATGGGATGATTTGAGAGAATAGCATTGAAATGTGAAGTAGATCGCCCGTCCAGGTTCAATGCATGAGACAGGGCACTTAGGGCTGGTGCACTGAGATGACCCAGAGGGACAGGATGGGATGGGATGGGAAGGGAGGTGGGAGGGGGTTCAGGATGGGGGACACATGTACAACCATGACTGATTCATGTCAATGTATGGCAAAAACCATCACAATATTGTAAAGCAATTAGCCTCCAATTAAAATAAATTAATTAAAAAAGAAGTTAATATAAGAACCAGATGCACTTATCTCCAAATGGAATTTCCACCTGTAATGAATAATTCTGGGACTTGTACTGTTCGCAGAACCCATCAGAAATGTCTCCTTTGAAATTCTAGAAGTATCCCTGCTGTGAAAGCTTGCCAGATTTTTGTTTGTTCGTTTCGTTCTTATGTTTTGTCTCTGCTTTTAATTGGAAAACAATGAAATAATGAAACGATAACCCCCTTTTAAACTTTATTAAGTCCTCCTCACCCAGACATTGGCAAGCTGGTCATTTGAAGCATGTGGAATATTGAAGCACCGTCTGTCACTCCACACTCTCACTAAAAAGATGACCTCCTTCTCTTTCCGTTTTCACCATTCCTGTGCCTAAATCTCCTCCAATGAGAAAACTGACAACCCTGGGCACTCTGGTTGCGCACCCCTGCATCAAGTGCCTGCGTCCTGAGCACCTTTGAGCCACTTGAGGAACAGTTGTCAGGTGGGATCTGACAAAGATTTTAGGCCAAATCTTGGCCTTGGGAAGGGTTTTCTGGGTAACTCTTGAAGAAGGCGAGTTGAAAATGCTGTGGGCGAGGCCATGGTCACCATCACCTGGATGGAGGAGAAGTCAAGTGACCCACCAGACAGCACAGTGGCTGCAGTGAACTGAATACTGCAGGAAGATGTCACTGGCGCCACAGAAGAGGCCGGAGGTGCCGTGGCTGCTGAAGGCCAGGTGGAAGGCCCGGCTGACATATCCTGAGAAGGCCCTCTTACCCTCGATGCGGACCAAGGAGGGAGCACTAATCAAGAGAGTGGAAGAGCAGGGTCTTTCCCAAGCTGCCGGGGGCTGAGACCGCGCTCAGGGAGGACTGGCCAGAATGGGGCGTCATTCCATCCAAGGGACAGGGTGCACAGTGGTTCTGCAGGATGCTCCGGCCACCCAACCCTGGGCTTGTCTCCTTCCTCCACACTCCAGACCCAGCGTGCTCAGGACGTGGGGTCCGGCCCCAGAGGACCGTGTCCTGAGCCACTGTCCCCGGAGTCCAGCCCCAGAGAACTGTGTCTCGGGGCATGGTCCTTGAGCTCCTCCTCCCCCACCCAAGCTCCCACAAGGCAGGGCCGCAACCCCCGCCACTCCCACCTCGGTGCAGCTCCAGGGTGAGTATCTCCCGCGGACCAGCGCTGCCGGAGTCCAGACGACTCAGAGTTCCGCTCCTCACTCTTCACCCAGGGACGCTGTCACCCAGATAGCTAGTGGCGAGGGAGTGGGGCGGCAGGCCAT